CGCCGCCTACTACGGCCTTGCTCGCAAACAAGCTGACATCAAGACTGCGTTCCTTAACTCGAGAATGTCCACGGATACGAAGCCCATATACGTGATTCCCCCGAAGGGTTTTGTGTGCACGAACGAAAGAAGATCGGAACCGACTTTCAGAAGGCAGACATGCTGACAAAGAGCTTGGGCACGGTGAAGTTTCTCAGGAACCGACTCTCGCTTCTAGGAGAGTAGTCATCTCCCCTCTTTGAAATCAGACTTTAGTCTTGAGGGTTGGACGATGAATCGAAACGGGAGATCCGTGTAGGAGGAAATGTTTTCGCTACTTGTACGAATGGCAGATATATTACTTTATTTTGTTTTGAGTTGAGAGAGCAAGTACTCGTGAATGTTGTCTTATTCGAGAGGACATTGGCACTGTTTTGAGAGGACACTGACTGGCAGGAGATTCATGTCTCATGTATCAGAATGACGTTGCTCTTGAGAGGACATGTCGGGGTATTTGCAGTGCAAGACCGACTCTATTCTGCTGTATGTGTTTCATTCAGTATTGTGAAGGCGTGTTCCAAGTCTGTAACCGGTCACGTGAAGACAGTTTGGGCGTCTATGTGTGGAACATAAATCAATCTGTGTTTCTCTACCCACGCCTCTTGTCACACAAGCCAACCACAGCGTACTACAGCGGTTGGCCACGCTGGTACGCCTTTTAGTGTACAAGGTTTTGCAGAAGGGGTGGAAGGATGTGAATGGGTGCTCCCACCACGGCTGCGGTGTTTGGTAGGGCTTACAGAGTTAGCAATTGTGCCCCCAATAGCGGTTATTGGAGCTGTTTTCGGCGTGCAACAGATGTTTTCGATTAAAGTGTCGCAGGGCACAGGTTGTTCCTCGCCGTGCGCGCCGAGGCGCCCAGCAGATACAGTAGGCAGATGTTAACTTATGACAGATATCCCAGCTGCAGCACGAGGTTGGTGTCATAGCGTTTCCATGAATAACCCCCGCGTGCCGTAGAGGCAAAGAGTACCACATTGTTGACTGGGGTTTCTCATAAAGTATGCAGGAGTAAGTAGACACAAAAACAAACATGTAGTCTGTAGTCTATGTTCGGTTCGACGGTTCGAACGGTATCTTCGAGCAGCTTGACTCATGTGTGGATGGATTGCGTGCGTGCTGCGTGCTGTGTGTTGTGTGCTGTTGCGTGCTGTGTGTGCGAGCACACACAGCACGCAACAGCGCATGTGTGCTCTCCGGGATCGCTCTCTCTGTCTTTGCCTTGTGGGCAACCAAGGGCAACCGATAATTACACGATCATCCGACCGTACAACAGCAGTATATAAACCACTCATTGGCTTCTAACCCTCTAGCCCTTACCCGTACTATCCCGTACTAACCGGTGGGAGGTGTGCACCAACAGATATGTAGACTACATACGTCTTGACAACATTGTCGTGAGTATGTCATGACAACGCTCATCATGGGCATGTCATGAATACATACGAGTGCTCATTCATGAATGAATCCTCATGTCACTTGATGGTCTGCCGGTGTGCAACCCACACATGGGAATTACTGCTGTAATTCCCGTATCATATTCGCCACGACACGGGAACGTAAAACCGCCAAATACATTCCGGTCGCCCCGGTAGTCTCCATACTACAGTACTGGGCCCTGTTTAGTGCCTGCTGAATAGTGCCAGGTGCCCGGTTTAGTGCCGGTAAAATCTCTGGACACAGGCACTGCCCTCAATAGTGCCAAACCGGCACTAATGAGGGCATGCCCGGTTTAGTGCCGGTTCGGCGCCGCTGTCACCCCCAATAGTCCCGGTTACCCCCATGCGAACACACACACACACACTATCGATCGTGTACTGGGGAGTCACGATCGAGCAGACTGCGGCACAGGCAAACTTTGTGTTGCAGGTGCATTGTTACCATGCAAGGACCGCTTGAGCCGAGCCCACTCCCTCGTCTGCACCAAGACCGGCGCCTCAACCTTCCTCCATAAATAACAGGATGGTTCGAGTAGTCCTCAAGACACTGCGCGAGTGCCATATGATCATCGCCGTTGAGGATTCCTCCCCTTTTACCACGGGCACTGGTAGGGGAAAGGGGCCATGCAAGATGGATTTGGTAGTACCCCCAGGATTACACGCAGGAGAGAAGGAAGAGGAACTCTGCACCAAGTCCATTCTTATAGACGTAACAATTGTCAACCCATCCGCAGGTCGAAGCATCGACACGTCGATTCGAAAGCCAGGATCCGCCCTCGAAGATCGAGCTGCAAGTAAGGCAAATCACTACAATTGTATGCGGGAACTTTCAACCCGTCTAGATCTATACGTTCCTTACTGCTGCTTTTTCGACGAATGGTGGTCTTGGCAAAGACACCAATCGACTCATCGTTGCTATCGCCCACCACTTGGCGCACGAAGCTTTTTGCCGGGGGAATTTCGACGACGAAAGAGCCTTAGTTCGCCTGAAAGCTTTTCATACTAACAGGATTCGGAGACGGTTTACCTTCGAGCTAGCTCGTTTTCTGTAGATGCGAACTTGCGATGTGTTCAAACGTCATGGGCTACTGATCGACCAACTTCCACCAGGGCCAATCGGTTGGGATCTCTGCGACAACGTTAGTAATGAGGGTGATTCTTTTAGGAGTGACGGACACGAAGAAAAGGGAAAGGGAAGAAAGGAGGACAAAGACGACGATGGAGGAGGAAACATGGGGGAGTGGAAGAGAGCAAAGGGTTTGAGCCAGATGACCTTCCCCGAAACAAAAAAACGTAGGGCTTGCCTAGAGATTCTTGCCAAAATGAGGATCAGAATGATGGTAGCGAAAACAAGGACAATGGTGAAAGTACTCCTAAACGAACTGGAGTACAAGGAAATAGTTGGGTAGACGCGTCCAGTTGTCTTCTGTTGCTGTTGTTTCTGTCTTTGATCCGAAGGGTAGTTTTGCCTCCCCCATGCTGCCCCCTCACGGGGTCCCAGTTCATGGCAGATAAAAGTGTTTTGTGTTTTCAACTGCACTAAGACTGACGTCTTTTCATTGGACAGCCGGTTTGCGCGGGCGATGCTAATAATAGAAGCACACACACCAGGCAGAGAAGACAGACTCCACACAGAGAAATAGGGTACACGTGCTACTGCAGACCCGAACAGCTCTTCGCAGGGGCGTACCATGCCATGTGCGGAAGGTGAACTGTGCGCTCAACCAGACTCAACGCCGCAAGACCCTCATGGCCACCACTGCCAAGGAGGATGTGGCGGGCGACTGCACGGCATTTGCGGCAGCATGTTTTGTGCAGTGATATTTTGTACGAACGAGAGCTTTACAAGCAGTTTGTGCCGTCACAGCTTACTCGAGTACATGACGTGTCTTCTTTCGCCGTCGACTATGTAGTCCTGGTTAGGCTGTAGCCCGAAACTACTGTACATCTTATTTTACAACGAACACTTGTTGGCTCCACAGGTTGCAACCACACATACATGTCGCAGGAAAGAAAGTCTGCCCACGCCCACGCTGGAACTTCCTTCAACAGCAGTGTCGATCCATTTCGTACTCTGTTGACCCTGCAAATGTGGGCGCTACACCATATAAGTCGAACACAACCTCATTAGTGCCGGTCGGCACTAATGAGGGATTTGCCAGCCCTCAATAGTGCCGTTTGGGCACTATTCGCAATAGTGCCGGGTGCCCGGTTTAGTGCCGGTGAACGCCCTGTGCACGTACCGGCACTAAACAGGGCCCAGTACTGTACATGTTCCCAGTAGCTGGTAACCTCGAAAACCTTCTGTAATACAGCACATTTAGTGGCCAGGGTCAGGGATCGAATCCCGGCGTAAGAAGGGCCAGTTTATTCGCGGTCCAAATTTTATTTCCGATTTCTGTGGGTCACAACTCTACGAACCCAACCCACTATACGTCTTTCACCACAAATCCTACAACCTTGGAGAACGTTCCCCACGTTCTCCTCGGAGAGATTGTCTCTCGGAGCGATGTCGATGTCGTCAACGCTCCGAGCCACGAGGAAGCGTGCAACGTTACGAGGGACCTAAAGCCGTCTTCCACGAGGCTTCCTCGGATCGTTGACCGTGACTGTTGTCCGAGAGGGATGCGAGGGCGTGCCCTCGCACACCTCTCACTTTCACTTCTGTCCCCATCTCATCTCGAGATTCTGTCTCTTTACCGAGCATCACAGTCTGTCCGGTGATCGTTAACACCGCGCCATATCTGTGACCGTTGCCCGAGTGGAACGCTTGTGAATACAACGTTGGAGATTCGCACCTCCCTGCGGTGTCTTTGAGTTCGAACCCTTATTTCCCGACTTTGATTACAATCTAGACTAGAATCTAGTCTAGTTCTTCGGACAGATTTTGGAACGTTGTGATGCTCATCTGGTTTGTTATTTTATGCTCATGAGGGTTTCCCGCTCAGTCACCCAGCCGTGGCCCAACCCTGACCTTTTGCCTAACGCGCGGTGGACTCTACGGTAGATCGCCCTACCCTTTCGCTCCACAGGAGCAGCTGCGCCCTTGTTGCTACTTGCTGTGTACTCCACTACGACGTCCGATGAAACTTCCTCGCAATTTCTTCCTTTACTTGCCACCTGCGATTCAATGACGCGCCACAAACCCCGGATTTAATTCCGTTCATAAAGGAATAAAAAAATACACACACAGAAAGACTATTAATATTTACCCGTTCGAGATATACCCACAGCAGTCGAACGGTTCATCTTACACCAAGACACAGCGCATGTATTACTGCTGTATTACTTTGAATGTTGCAGGGTTTCCCGCTCAATCACCTTACCGAGCCCCACCCCTGACCTTGTACCTAACACATGGTCGACTCTACGTCCGATCGCCCTTTCGCCTCACAGGAGTAGCCGCTGTGACTCTTGTTGCTACATAACTGGTGATTAGAAGTGATGAAAAAAAAAAAAAATGGCGGACAATGGTTGGGTTTCAGATCGCAGCACCAGCGCAGCAGCGCAGCAGCAACAACAATCGCGTAAATGATGATCAATCCTCGAGGATGGGAAGTTCCTCAGCAGAGCCCATCCAGTACGAGGACAAGGAGCCAGTCGCCCTCAGCTGTATTGGACGGACCAAGTTGTTGCCACCCGGAGGAACATGCTGCCGCTGATTTCTGGTGGGCGAGATCGAGAAGAAGGGGAAGAGCGCTCGTGGAAATAGCAGGACAAGCAGGAGCAGCAGCGGAGGACAGGCCTGAGGAAGAAGGGCAAAACTCCACCACAGCTGCGAGTGAGAGAGACCCAACCACAGGGAAATGTTCCCTGGTTGGCGGTAAACGGCATTCACGTTTTTTTGGCAGCAGTGAACGGCGGGAAACAATCAAGGAAGAGATTCAGTACAGGAGATGTTCGCCAGATGTTAGGCGAAGCCGTGTGATTTTGTTCTCGTAATGTATACATGCCTACAGCAGTAAATACCGTCGCCGAGCCTTGGTGCCAATGCTGGGTGGACTCTAAGACAACGGGTCGCGCTTTCGTCTCACAGTAGCAGTCGCAGTGTGGACTTGGATGCTGCTGCTGCTATTGTACTTGTAAGCCAATAGTCTACTACAAGCAGCGTCATCGCCCCCCCTGCTCGTCCTCCCCGTTAGCTTAAACTACTTTAAACATTTTTCGGGTCACGGCTTTTGGGTCACGTTCTTCAACGTTCTTGGGTGATTTCTCATGGTTCCTCGTGAAGCCTCGTAAGCATTCAAGTAATGATTCTCAAGGTACGGGGTTAGATAGCGTTGTGGTTACGTAAGGTACCCCATTGGTACCTCATGGTTCTATCATGAAATGTATCTCATGGTGCATCATATGATTGGTCATGGTGCCCCATGAGACCCCACGAGAACGGCGATCTCCCATGCTACCGGCAGTTTTGGTGCTGCCCATGGGCAGCCCATGGACTAACTGCCCACGACGTGCCCACCGTGGGCACTTCGACCTAGAACTTTGCCACCGGCACGTCAACCTAGAACTTAGGCACTGCGCCAACCTATGAAGTAGCACGTATCGTGTGGGATTGGGGGATTAGCGTTAGTTTTGTTTGCCGTCATGATGCCCCTTCCAAAGCAGATTTTCTACTCCGGTACATGTAGAACTACGTAGTTCCGGTTGAAGGGCACTCATTGACGGTCCATGGGTTGCCCATGGTTCATGGGCAGCCCATGAACTGCCCGCCATGAGCTGCCAATGGGCAGATTATCAAACTACCGGAAGCGTGGGAGACCCGAGGATGGTGCCTCATGAGACACCATTATGGGGCCTCATGGTGCACAACGATCACGTTGTTCTAATGAGAAATCTCATGGTGTCTCATGATAACTTTCTCATGGGGCACCGTGAGATATCATGGAGTATCATGAGACACCACGAGATCCGCAAGAAAATAAAAAGACAAAACACTCAAGGCATCATGATGTCTGATGGTGCACCTCGAGTTCTCATGGGCAGCTGCTCATGGCACCATGGCGCACCATGAGGCAGCCATGGTAATGATCTCACATGAGATGATTCTCCTTGTGCCCTATAAGACCTCATGGTTCCTCATGGTGCCTCATGGTGCTCCCTGAAACGCCGTTTTTTCATTACCATAAAATGTTATTTTCTGCTCACGCATTGTGCGGTGTCTTTGCATTTGATTTGTTTCAGCCCTTATCACTCACGGGGGGGGTACAGGACCTTGTAGCGAGAGCGAGGCGTAACAGCTAATCATCTTCGCTTCTAGGGTGTGGCCTTCGTATGTACAGCTGTCGGCTGTGCGAAATCGGGGTGGAGTAGGGGCGGAAAGGAAAGCAGCCACACAATTAGTTTAGCACGTTGTGAAAGCAAGCAGAGAAAACAAGAACTTGCAGGACTTGGCACAAAAAAATACGAACCTTAATCAATGAAATTGAACAACGCACGCTGCACTTTTTCAGCCCACATCAAGATTTTGAGGCTGGACCCGAGTTGGCGTTCGTTAATTGCGGGCGCCAACTGTACAGCATTTGCCTATGTACATGTTATGCAAGACGAATTCATGCATGCATGTGCATCATTTGTTATTTTTCGTGCTTCGGCAAATATTCCTCTTCCTCTGGCGGCAGCCTATTATTTCTCACGCTCCCGTCTCAGGGACACGCAGGGGGCTCGTCAGTCACTACCGCGCACGCCCGAGGGCGGCCAGGCATCAGCGGCATGTGCAATCGACGCCTAGCGCCGCCGCGACTGGCTTGCAAGGGGGGGCATTCCGAACCAAAAGAGGCAACATTCACAGTACAACACTGCTCTGCAAAAACAACAGGAACATTATTCGCAAGCACACATTCCCACCATGAGATACACGGTACAAACACATGAGAGCAAGCGACCAAACGCAGCGGGTTTCAGCTGTAGGATCTGCGGCAAAGACACCGCTAGCCTTGAGGAACACACTCATGCACACGATAATAGTCAGAAAAACAAATCCTTCGCGCACGACGTGAAATACTAGTTTGTGGGGAAAGTCGGAACTACATAACCACCGTTGAGATGCGTGCATGATGGCATTGCAATGCCAGCCATTCGGCTACCCTGCAAGGGTGGGCAGAAATCACCCTCGCGGAGTCTCCCTGTGGAGGTCACCCTGACGGTTGACCCGCCTATACAGGTGGGTACGTTGCCAAGGTGACTGCTCTCACACCCTGTGCGTGCCCTGCCACTCACTTTGCAACACCCTGTCAAGACCCTCAAGGGCATGACACGTCCAATAGTGCTGCTGCAGCTGTGAAGCGTCGGCAGGACAAAGCCCTTCGCAACAACATGGCGACTTGCGAACTGTAGTGTACGACAAGCGTTTTGCCCATGGCGCAATTCTCCGCCTTGTTTGGTGGTAAAGTACGCATGTATAGTATAAACTAACCTGCACCCACCACTCTCATTGTCATTATCAAGATATGTCTCCCGTGCCCCCCCCTACTCGAGCAAGTAATTTGGGCGCTCAACATTTTGAGAACCCCGTATGAAACTAACTTGCAAACTTGTGTTTCCACCCTAGCGAGAAATTTGATCACAAACCTCCACAAAATCCACACAGAAGTTACGGGGTGGTACAAAACATCGCCAGGCCAAGACGGGGCGTAAGAAATGTGAATCACGTTCAAGCAGGATTATGGAAGCTCCAGACAGTTTCGTGCCGCAAGTTTCCCGGCAAGCCCGTTTGAACGCAAGGTAACGTTGGAGGCGATGTAACCATATGTCTCAACGTCCCTACGAAAGGCATCGAACTTCGCGACGGCATGTGTGACGCGTGTTTTGAATATTTGGGTAGTTCTGGCGCCTCGGCATGGTGAACTCTATTTCCTAGCCATATCCTGCTTCGTCGCCCATTTTTCTCTCGTGCGGAGACTCTGGAGGCAGCAACCTACTCATGTCGCTGCTGCTGCCGCTCCCGTCCGGCCCGGTCTCGCTACCACCTTCTCCTGGCTATTCCATGCTCCAATATGAACTCGTAATCATAGTTTTCCCGGCTCTCAGTCATGTACATTTCTCTCTCCTGTTCGTAAAACGTAAATTTCGGCAACTACACGAACCGGTCCGGGAATTTACAACCTGGGGGGGGATAGTGGCCAATGTTTTTGGCTGGTTATGTCAATCCAGGTTGTGTAAGAGTCTGATGTGATACAAGGCACGACGAGCAGCAGTTTGCTCCCATAAAACTGGAGCATAGCTCATGTCGAAACTTCACTTTCCCATACCCGTCAACGTAGGGTGCGAGGTGCTTCATCACGACGTCCTATACGATCTTGTCAGGGTTCGTCTACCAATACTCGAGACGTCATCCGGCGGCAGTGGCGAAGGTGTACTCTACTGCTCACACCCTGACACAGGAAATCCTAACCTCACCGACGGAGGAACATACGGAAAATATGTCATCACACTACCTGAAATCAAATATGGAATGAGTACAAACGGGGCTGAGATTGTTCATTGCGGAATCTATTTCCGCGGCAGGGGTGGAATCGTGGGGTTTGATGAGAAGTGACGATAGGGATACGCACGAATATGCTAATTTCCTTTTGCTTGGCCACCAAACGCGAGAAGGGTAACCTTGTAGTGTAGCACCTACCGTAGCTGGTTTAGGTGAGCCTTGTGGGGGCCTTCTGTACGAGCGGTACCTGTGATGAAAAACTTGTGTATTCTACCATGAGCAAACTTCACAAAGAAGTACCTGCGTGTCGTGATACTTGTGCACGATACCAAACACATAATAGTGAATATCGTTTCTTTCCCATGTCAAACACGTGGATCTACTGCAGCAACTTCTTGTTCGTTTGACTAGTCGTTTGCACAACGGGCTCTACGGCATCTCCAGGCTGCCTCAACGCAAAAGCCTGCATCCGCATTCCAAACTCAACGCCCTAGCGATTCTCGGTGTTGCACCTGCTGCTGCTTCCCTCTCTGGAAAATTGCAGCGGCGCCGGGGTTCACTCATCACTCATTCTTCGCGGAGACAGATACAACGGCCGTCACAACTACCAACGTTACCGCTGCGCCAAGCCCAACAAGCCCGCTCTTATCTCCGAGACATTCTAGGCGCCGCGGCAAACACAACCAGACAACACGAACCACCGCGGTTTCCCCGGCCGGTACCGTCGCACGACTCTTTCAGAAGAACCGTCGTATCTTGGCCGTCGTATCCGTCGCCGTCACCGCGTTGCTTCTGATCCTGGCGTTGACGGCTTGCGCGGGGCTCTGGCCCTGGCGAGATCTATTTCCTTACAAAGGTGAGCGCTGCAGCGTGAAGCACACCAGGACGGCCATGATGCACCCAGAGAGAGAGAGAGAAAGAGAGCAAGCGTACACGGAGTAGCCCTTGCGGCGGCATTGTTTCGTTCTCCTTTTTGGAGACTTGCCGCTAAACGGTCACCTGTCCGGTAGGGCTCTTGCTCAGCCCGTGTTGAGGTTTCCCCCAGAAGGAGACGAAGGGCATACAACACGGTGTATGATGGTCGGTTGACAAGGGAGAGCCCCGTGGCTGGCCAAGCTGCCGTGTTGAGTTGTACGATTTGTGGTTTCAGTCGTGGGGTGTTTCCTACTGTAGGTAAGCTCTCCCTGTCTTACATAGTCGGAAACCGTTGCACACGACCGATGCCCGGCCTACAACAACATCCACAATCAATTTCCTTCGAGCAAACGGAATACAAGCGTGCGGTGCCACGAGTGCTTGGACAGTAAGTTGGATCGAGCCCAGCAAGGTCGGAGTCAGGGGGACAGTTTTGTCGGTTCCTGTTTTTTCCCCGTGCGTTGGACATGTCTCTCGTTGGGCCAACGCCGTGCTACCGACTCTCTTGTCAAATCTCCTGTGCGGGAACACACAAAGAAGAAGTCCAGCATCAGAGTTTGCGCCCTTGACCGCTAGACAAAAGGTTTATCTGTCCACACAGTAGAGTACCGGACCCAATTCCCGCGCAACTCCTTCTGAATGCCACCTCCGCCAGGTACAACCGACCAGCACTTCCTCATATCCCTGCCGGCCTACTTCTATGTTGGTCGCCTTTGTTTTGCCCTCTGTTGTTCACGTGTTTCCTGTCAACCTTCGTCGAAATACGAAAGGCGAACGTTTTCAACCCGCGAAAGACTGCCTGATGGTCAATACGAGGGCTGAAGTAGCTTGCGGCAGCCCTTGGTCAGCTCCGTGCTTTGACCTCAGCCGTTGTCGTAGCGGCGGCGGCGACTTGCTGTCCGTCTACGTGCACGACGAGACGTGCTCCATGAGGACGAGCTCGGAGATCATGGCCAGCTACGGGGATGTGGCCATCCCGCCACCGTGGGACGCGGCGGCGGAGACCCAACTGTGGAACGCGGCGGCGGAGACCCTTCGTCATGCCGCGGCCGAGAGGTACGGATAGAAGAAACAACGGGGGGGGGATGGTTCGAAGCAGTTGATGTGTAGACAGAGACACGTCGCAAGTTCGTCACACGGCCTCTTCGTTGGGAGAGTAGTCGGTGTGGCCCAGCCCGTCGAGAATATCCTGAGACGAGCGCGCACAATCTGATCTTGTGCTTTTCTTTTTGTGGTGTGTTTCTTGCAGACAGTGCCTAGCAAGCCAGCTCACCAATAGTGCGGACCAAGAGTGCTACACTATAGACCCAAAAAGGGGGGCGGGGGTTGAACTCAAGCATGAGGAACATGCAAGACGAGAGGAAACGAATTGTCAGTACTTGGGGAAAACTCTGACAAAGCAAGATTGGGGCCATGTGCTGGAAGGTGCAAGTGACTCTCGAAGCGATTCACGGAATCAACAATGTGTCGACCTGTGGCCGGTGGGAGTAGAAAAATATGAGGCTCTCACCTCGACGTGCGGTGCTTTGCTTTTTGGCTCTAATCTGTGTGCCTCCTTGGTTGGGTAACAGCGCTTCAGGGCGGGAAGGGGAGAGACACACACAGCAAGAGAGACACAGAGAGAGAGAGAAAGAAAGAGAGGGAGAGGGAGAGAGAGAGAGAAGGAGTGAGACGGAAAGACTGGCAGGGAGCTGCTGTACTTCCGGCTGCAAATCGTACCAAAGCCGTCCTCCTCAGTAATTACTTATTTTTCCCACCGTCGAGAAATCGAGCTGACAACAATATTGGTCTGGTCAAGAATTACAGTACACCGCCCGTCCACTTGGTAGTCTATTTACCGCCCTATCCGAACGAGTTGGGATGATTCTCACGGCGAGCAAGCATGTTCTCGGTAGTGCTAGTATTCCTGATACTACTCGAATTTTGAGTTAGACCAATTCAATGAACAAGACTGCCCAAGAGGTAACTACTTACGTTGTGCTCCTGTTTTATTTTCAGAATACTCTTTGTACAATGAGCTAAAGGGTACCAGTCCTACCGAGTGCACACCGGACACATTGGAACGGAGTGCCTTGCGTTTACACAATCAATCCCGTATCTCGAGAAACAAGCCACGGATGCCTTGACTGTGCAAACCGGAACGAACGGCAAACAGGGGCCTGCTCGTGGACACCCCCGATGAAGCGTGCATCGTCTTCTACGCGGTACCTAGAGACAAAGGGGAGTGCGTGTCAAAGACGCCGACCTGGGGGGAGGGGCAAAACCACGCCTTGCTGGATTTGAACGACGAGAGCCGGTGAGAGACGACCGGGATAGCAGAAATCCCCAACGAACAACGTGAGACAGCGTGTGTGCGGGCGTCCGCCGTGTTGTTTGATCGGCGTGGCAGAAGCCGCTTCGTCGGCTGATTCCGCTGAAGGGTACATAAGCCAGCCACCCTTTTACGTAGCGTTACACCTTCGCATTTTGATATCGTTGTTACATGCGGAGCAACGTCAGAATCCCCCCCGCCCCCCCGTGCGCGAAGAGCTCCTACAGCTGCAAGACTATTTACGGAATGAAGCGCACGACCTGTTGACAGACGGCCGCGTCGGGGCGTAGTGGCGTGTGGGGCGAGATGGGCCGTGTTCACCTCGCCAAGAAATCACCCTGCCGCGCGAATGCCACACGACTCTGCATCGTGTACTCCAGGGTTAGACGGCGAAGACGGCAACTCCCTGTTATCACGGCTGCCCTGTCAGCTCCCCACCCCCCGCGCTGCCAGCCTGCGTAGCTCTAGCATTTTTTGTAGGCCTCGTCTCGGTCTGTGTCAGTTGGGGTGTTGTTGACGTTTTGTATGACTCTCCAGCCGCGAGTGCTGAGCGTTATGGACAGAGGCAGGGGGGCTCTGCCTTTTCGTTTTGGTATCTCCGCTATGAGGGACAAGGAAGCACACTATTCAGGGTGCCTCGATGTCGGAGTGCCCACTATTTACGCTGAAGTGGCAGCACGGTTACTGCGGCGGTTGTGGCTTGGACTGCTGAACTCGCCGACACTGATGGTGGGGTGTTTGAGGTTGTAAAGTAAGAGTACCAAGCAAGCAAGGGTAGCACCAGCGGAGATAGATTCCCCTGGCGCGAATCACACGAAGACAAAGACATAAACTTTCCCAGCCTACGACGTGCTAATAAGTCTAGCTAAACATGACGCGTGAGCGCGATCTTTCCCTCAACTCGAGTACCACATGAACTAAATCTCTCCGGGATGATTCGACGGTCATATCGTGCGCTCATGCTTTCAACCGGTGGGGGCCAGTGCGGCGCGAAGCTCCCTGGACGGGAAGGCGATGTTCCTGCAGTCCAACATGCGGCCTTGCTACTACCGCCACGGATACGACATCGCGATGCCCCTCCCGGCACGCAGGCCCGTCGAACGTCTCAGGGAGGTTGCCCCACAGGACCGAAAGTACTTCGCCACCTTCAAGGCGAGCTAAGGTTTCTGCCTTTGGTTGGGAGAATACTGAGTATTGGTTATCGCGTTTGTGTCCAACAACAAGAGTGGGAAGGTTAAGATTGGTCCTTGGGAGAATTGAACGTTGTTCGGGTTGTCTTTTTTGAGACTAGGAATTGCTACTTTCTAGGCCGCTACACCAGCCTCCGGTTGAACATGGGCGGGCTCTTAATCCTGTTAAGGCCGCATGTTGGTTGGGTACGTGTGGCTCAGTTTGCCAGAATGTTTTCCCGCCAAGGTGATCGTAGACAAGGTATGAAACGGACTGTGAACGAAGCTTCCCAACGTCGAGAAAAACAGACAATTTTGCGCAGAAAAAACTGGTGTCGTGTGCCTCGCTCCCAGTCGGCAGGCACACCCGTGAGCGTGCACGCTCAATATATATTTTCCATGCCACAGGAAGCCCCCGCACTAAACATTACATGTCAAGCGCTTCCTGCCAGGCAGCAGTACCGCAACTTGCGCGAGCGGTCACGTGTCACCGGTTTCACACGCTGGATGTCCCGACGACACCCCGGGTGGAGCGCTGAATATACAATACCCCGACGCAATAGCAAGAGCTCTCTCGAGTATTCTACGTTTGGTGACATCTTTGTTCGCCTACCTCCGTTTGCAGCGTGTCCATAGTTTGCTCTACATTACCTCGCTCCGCCTGAACCGCTGCGCCCAACAACGTTATTACTAAGACTAGCGACGCCAAGCAAGCAGAGACAGGAGTTTCGTTCGCATGTCTTGCTCAATCCCACCAATACCGCACCGAACAAGACCCCCCATCCCCTCGCACACACCTATCACACTTCAGGGCAAGCTGTATCTGAGTGGGAACGGCTTGTTGGAGCGGAGCGCGGTGCTTGACCTCATGAGCGGGGGGGCCTCAGCCGCCGCAGCCCCGGCCGAAGGGCGCGGCGAGATGGGGCGCGCGAACGGCGACAGTCAATCGTCTTCCTCTCCCGACGTGCTGGTGGTCGAGCGGTGCTGCAACTTCCACAGCGAGCAGGTGTGAGCTGTAGTGCTGCTGTAGTGCTTCGTCGCCTACCACGCGTTGGAGGGAATTCCTTCTTTCACCGCGGCCGGAACGAGTGTGAGGGCACGTGTGACTGAATGGACAATGTAGTGCGAGGACAATGGACATCAGTACCCACAGTAGAACTCTGTGATCACACGGAAGCTCGTGCATGGCATTCTTCATTCTTGTGCCCCTCCGAAGAGTACGGAAGGGGGCGTACTGGATGGAATTCAGCACGGCTTTGTTCCGTGGTACTGTAAAACACGAACGTCTGCGACAAGGGGAACCCGCATCGATACAGTTAGGTTCGTGCGGCGGAGGAGATACGGGATGGAGATCAAAGCGCGTTTGCAACGTGCAAAAACCAACACAGCGAACGCTACCCATGCCACGTGCGTTCCGATCGAATTCACCACAACGTAGACAAAGCGGCAGTGTGGCAGTATGTTCCGCCTAGCCCGCACGAATAGCTAAGGTTGTGGGTGTGGTTGAATCGGAATGTTTTTGTTTTGGGCTTGCCGGACTAGGTTATGGCAAGATACACCACGCCAAGAGACAGCAGTTTCGCTTGAACGTAGGTGGCCGTCTGATTTGTTTTTTACATTTTTACTTCTATTTTTCCGATTTCCGTCATGGTCCACATGTTCCTCGGAACAAACCACGGCCCGGAAGCGTACGAAATTGCCCTCTGCCGCACTTTCTAACCCTTTTCACGCCCGACTCCATCTCATTCATCGTCAACGATCACACACACATACACCCGCGACCCATGCGACGGGCGAAAGTTGCTGTCCTGGAACAAGGCCATGTGCGAGGCCTCCCAGCGGGAGTACGACAGCAGCCCCAGTTACGGGGACCTCATGAACACCACCTTCGCGCTGCTGCCGGCCGGCCGGTCTCCGGCGACCTACCGCCTCGCCGAGGCGTTGTCGGCGGGCGCCCTTCCCGTCTTCATCCACCAGGTGTGTTGCCCAGAGTCACCGGGAAACATGGAGGCGGCGGCACAGCGCGTTGCTTGCCGAAACGTAGAATACCGCTGGGCTCACCAAGGCGCTATGGTGTAGCTGTCGGTCCTCCTCAAGGGCAGCACGTGCATTGTCTTGGCTCCCGGTGGTCTTAGTAGTAGCCGCGCGTTTTCCGACTTGAGGCACCGGAGAAGCGATCTTGCGCACACGGCGCACCGCTCTAAGGCTTTCGCCAAGCGCGTCTAAGAGTTTCGACTGAGTGTCCCATGAGCCCCCCTGCTACACCGGGGTTATAACTAGAGATGGGCACCGGACGTGAAGAAACGATATCCGATAACCAGCTAGGATGCGTTATTCGTAAAATTCAACAACAGGAATTGTCTAACCGTTTTTTTTCAGCTCCGGTTAACCAGTTAAACGTTTAACCGGTTTTCCGGATCAAAAAAGGAGCCAACGCCGCAATCTTCCATAACTGGGTCTGTCTGTGGCTACGTGGCTGCGGCTCTCAATCACCCAGACGGTCGGCGTTCTGCGGGTGTATGGTGCAGCATTTCACGCACACAATATTTTGTGTCGTCGTGTCAAGGAAGCGATGGGCACGAGGCTGGAACATCCAATGAGTAAAACCCGGCTAAGAGGTGCTTTTCTTAAACAAAAACCGGCACGGTCACGTTTTGTTCAGCGCCAGTTATCCGGTCATCCGGGTATAAATCGGTTGAAAAACGCCTCGTTATTGATTTTTTTCCGTTCTTATTTTGATGACCGTAACCGATAAACGCCTGCCGAGTTTCCAATTAACTTGGTGCAACCGGTTTTTTTCCAAACGGTGCCCATCTATACATATCACCCACCTTTTGGTCTTGGCAAAATTCGTCTTTCTTCGTTCGGTTTTGAGCTTGACTGTGTTCACGCGCGAGGTTGTTGTTCCCAGCTGTTGTCGATATCCGTTTAACGTCTTAACACCACCGGCAGTACGTCACCACCTGGATGGAGCCTTTCTGACGTACGGGCCTGGGTTGCCCCCCTCCCCCGCCCCCAGGTTGCGTGCTTCTTGATGTGTTTCACCTGTCCTTGCCGTCCATTTTCACGTTGTCGAGGCCCTAGCCGACCAGATTCCATTCGGTTTGAAGCGTCCGGCAGTTCACCTTAGGACGGGCTCATGAAACCCCCTTTCGGCGGCGGAATAGGATTTTCCGTACTAAAATGGAGCCAATGTGTGGCGACGAGTTTTTTGGCTCAATTTTTCTTCTCATGGCAGGCGCTTTGGCCAGAAGAGAAGCCGTCAAAGAGCTGATGCCACCCGATCGGGCCGTGTACTTGTTGTTGTTGTTGTTGTTGTTGTTGTTGTTGTTGTTGTTGTTGTTGTTGTTGTCTTCACATTAAAAACCGTTCCGATCTCTCTCTACCCAGTACCTTCGTATGTCCGTACTGATCCAACACTCGACGCGGTCGATTCCCGTGGTCACAGGTTAACTTACCCTCAAAAAGGTACACTCAAAATAAACTGGCCCCGAGGGGTCCGCAAGTCAATAGAAATCAACGACAGATATTCTGGAATCCTCCACTCCCTCTTCGCGCTATGCGAGGTATCAACTGAGACTAGCAGTCACTATCTATCATGGGCCGGAGAGAAAGAGGTACACCCCCTTGGTTCAATCTTGGTACTTCACAACTGTACTATGAGTAGGCGAGAATCGTGAGTGTTGCGCCCGACTTGAAAATGAGATTAGGGTACGCTTGAAAATTCCTGCTGTGTGTGTACCTTTTCGCCACTTTTACCGTGTTTAGAGAGTGTGGTCCTGGCCGGAACTTGCACCCTTTTCCCTTCCGATCGAAGCTCGACAACCAACAACGACTGAGAGATACCAAAAGCGAAGGACGGGTACGTGGCTGAGGCATCTAAGAAGCACACCTTCCGACCCCCACTGCCTCCAAACATTGCAACTCCCAGGACTTCGTCAAGCCGTTCCCGGGGAAGATTCCTTGGTCAGACTTTTCGTTTTCGTTCCCGCCAGAGGAGGTGCCGAGAATGTTGAAGACCTTGAGAGCTGTCCCTGACAGGGAGCTGGCGCAGATGCAGGTACGTGGTGCAACGGTTATCAGGGGTGTTGCTGTTGTTGTAAAATAGTTTGGGTTGAAAGGTGAAAGAAAAACAATGCCTCTCTTTGTCTTTTTTGCAACCAACTTCGAGGAGGCCCGGCCCTTCCCTTGCAGTTCTCCCTCCCATGACCTGCACCGCCAATGGCAGCTTGCCGAGAACCCCTCGATGGCGTGCCCCCCCCTACCTATCGGGAACTACTGGTCACGGCGCGCTGGGTTTAGCTCCAGGTGGACTCGATGAAATTTGTGGGAAAGAACAAACGCAACGAGATTTTTCCTATTCTCTGAAAACCGCCACAGGCGACCGCTCTCGAGGTCTTCGACACGTACTTCGGGCCCGGGATGGACAACATGCTGCACACCGTGCTGGACATCTTGGAGGACCGGCTCTATTTCCGATCATGAAGACGGGGTCGGCGGCATTGGCATTGACACGACTCGTGCCCTGACGACGACACGACATGCCACCTCTCTTGCCGCTGACGGTCCTCTTGCCTCAGCCCTGTGCAAGGGAGAGTGGGCGAGGTTGTTCTCGGGTCGGTCTCTTGCTCGTGTGTTGTAGAGAAGGTGCTTGATCACTGCGAGACGGGACATTTGGAAGGTCGGATGGGCAGTACAGAGCGTGAAAACTTGTACAGAAGAGACAGCTCCACCCTGGTTGTCGCGTGCTTCGACTTCTATTGCTGCCCCTTGGCTTATGTTTCATGTTGTTAATTATGCTGTGCCTGTTGTATGGAGAAAGAGTCGCCCGCTAAATAAAGAGCAGAAGATTTCCCGAAGGTGTGAAATGGTGCTTCCACCACGGCCGCGGTGTTTGGTAGGGCTCGCAGTAGAACTCTGAAGACCGGATACGCCGCTGTGCCCTCTCCCTGTATCTGTAGGACCCCTGTTTCTCGGTTCCCTGTAGCACATTTCACTGTATACAAGTAGTGGTTAACAAATCTCGTGGTACCGCTGCACCCACTCCTGTTTAGCGTTTATTTGGCCGTCAAACCAATCGAGCTCCCTGTATCGGCATTGGAGCTGTTTTCAGCGAGCAGTAGAGGTTATCGATTCGAGTGTCGCTGAGCAAAAAATTTGCTCCTCGCGCGCGCGCCGTCAAACCAAGGCGCCAGGCAGATCAGTATGGGTACATGTACAAACGTGTTGTGGCAAATATGGCGTGTGTCAACTTTGCTTGTGTGTGTTAAGGAGGACGGACCCGATTCGCAGGGTATCCGTCGATTGACTTTTACCAGAATCGGTACACCTTCGCATGTGCGTGTGCGAAAACAGCACCAGGCAGCAGCAACTCTGCTGACACAAAAGGCTCTACTCTGGTCGTGCAGAGATGGAGCAACTGGTGGTGAAACCCGTGCATGTGAAAACCTTTTGATGATGTTTCAACTTGTTTTATTATTATTCGTGAGCCTTGCTCAGGCTACAGCGTACTTACTTGTTGATTTGTGGAGAGGAGGGAAAGTTGGGAGTAAGCTCGGTGGGCGAGCTCGTCCTTTGCCTGCCTGTCTCAAAATATATCCGTCGGTACCTACCGACAGACAACAAAGACCGGTCCGGCAACGTTCCGGGACCCGAATACCATTCTTACGTGACGCAAATACCGTTCCTAGCAACCGCGACCGTAAAGGTCCTAGAGAAGTTCCATGAACCATTCTACGTAAAGACGATAAACCATTCCTGGGAACTTTCCGGAGAGCGGGTCCAGGAACTCAACACTTTCTTAGAATATTCTTCGAGCAGCACAAACTTTTCGCATATGCAACCCGAACCATACACATTGTACCATTCATCATTGCATACAGCAACTAAAAGCAGTAACTAGTATCCAAATAGCATACTGCGCTATGGGGTGACACACCTGCCCAATCGACCCAGGGCGCGAGAAGGGAGGACATGCAAGCTCTCACATGATGACCACTCTGAAAGGCACCCCATATGCCGAACAAGACAGCGGCGATCCACGCTGACCACGCTGGCTACCGTAATATAGACTTGCGCTTGCGGACGACGCCCGGACGCCCGGACGGCCAACAGCAATACGGTTCTGCTCCGTCATACATTACTGTTCGGCGCGTGCAACCAATATTCCGCCGCTTTGGCGTCTCCTCTTCCTATCTCCTTCGGAGAGGCAGGGGAGAAGGGTTGTCGACTTGTTCGAAGGCAATGGTTGAGGGAAACTTTCCTGTCGAAACTTCATGTTTCCTCCAGGCTTGCAGTATATAGCCCGAAGAGGTATTGCCGGGTGGTAGGCGGGCAGGCGGGCAGGCGGCGGGAGAAATATACCCAGTGGACACAAAAGAACAATAATAATATAATGCATCATTTCGACTTTCGACGCTACCTGGACGCTACGCTCTGGTATCCAGTTGGTTCGGACCCGGCCAGCTGCCGACTTTGTACACCGCTCCAAAACCTAGGCTATTATTGTAGCCCTAACCCCAACCCAACCGACCCGACCCAAACCTCTGCCGTGGGAGAGTACTACATTACATTGCTGTACTGAGTAAGCCTAGGCCGCACCAAGCCGCGGCGCAAGAGGGGAGGCTTGGTTGCTGTGCATTCTTAGGGCTAGGTTGTTGGGAAAAGTGAAAAGCTAGGTTGCCGTGCAGGGCTGCACCTACCCAACAAATGTTCCGAGAATTGGGATTCCGACCGTCACGTTCGACCAAGTCTTCAGCACTCACTGCTGGCTCCTTTCCTGTTCAGCGAGTAGCTGTTCTGATGATGATGAAAAGAATACGCTGACCAGGACCTAGCCTATGGACATTTTTTCTTTCGAAGCGGCTAGCCTACAGCCAGCGGTAGTTCAACTCGCGTCATTCCCGCTCACGTAAAGAAGAGTGCGGCATGGCGTGAGATAATGACGTGGGAAAGGTCTGATTCGGCCGTCACACTCTCTCCGAACAGAGGAAAAAAAACGAAATAGACGGCTGCCGTAAGAATTCCTCCGTACGTTGGCATTTTGCCCCAAGTATTTCGGACGGGCCGCAGAACGGCGCTTATATTACGTTGTTGTTGTTGTTGTTACGTGCGTGGGTTCCAAAAGTAAGTGTGAATAGTGAAAAGTGCGAAAAAAGTGCGGAAAATGCGAAAAGTGCGAAAAGTTCGGTGAGAGTAAAAATAGGTTAAGGCGAAAGCCTCTCTATTTATAGCTGTGTCAAGGTGTAAAAGTCTACTCAATCAAGGTTCCTTGACTCTTCGTGGATCAACCAAGGCTGCCGACCCAGACACGTCGTCGCTGCTGAGACCTTTGGCGCACAACCTCGTGGGAAAAACCACACCTGTGAGCCTTCCTCCCGCTCTTCCCGGTGGTTGTGATCGCCATCATCGCCGTCGCGCCTTCATCCTCATCGAGGAGGCTTCACCCCCGCAGGTGTGTGTAAGCGTCTCGTACAGCTAAATAGTCTCATACATTGTAGGCACAGAGGGAGATAGAGGAGCAGACAGGAGAGGGGGTTATTTGTGTTGTGGTCCCCGCCGGTGCGAAGTGCTGAGGGCAGAGCGCCTGTCCAGGTGTCCACGGTGGCGAATAGAGCTGAAGCAAACCTGAAAGTAGATAGTGTGGATCAAATCTTGAATGGAGACGCGGGGTTGTGGGAACTTACACGTACAGCAGTTCGACTGCTGTACGCCAACTGGAAGAAGGAGCGAATCATTCGCAATCGACCGCAAACGTGCCGCACCCGAAACGTTTGATGCTGCTTTGACTGCATGCATGGAACTCTTCGCTCACAAGCAACCACGGCCTACTGTAAGCCACTGCTTGAAGTTCGACAGCCATGGTGTCTGAGAGTCTTCCCATACCCTCGAAAAGCAGGCCTGGGTGAAGCGATTCTTCGCGACTCGAAGTTGGAACTTTTTCAAGGCAGAAACAAGTTGGCAGAAAAGTAGAAACACTTTTCAGTTTCTCAATGGTTTTCTGAGCGATGTGTGGCGAGGTTAGCCAAGCTCAACCGGGGTGGTTCTGCTTCAAGCTGGCTCAAGAATAAGCGTTTCGGGCGGTGCCATCGCCGCGGAAACGCACAATCCGAGACTCTTGAGGTCTGCACACATACATGCTTTGCCAGGGAATATACATGTCTAGGTATTCTACTAGGTTTACTATCAACATAACAAGTATGCACTTGATCCGACGCTCCCTCAGACCAGACGCTCCCTCAGACCAGCTTAGCTACAATAATACCGTTCTTTATGTTCGTTCTTTCCGTTTTCGATTGGAAAATCAGAGATAGACGAGCAGGGATGCTAATTGCTTGCTGCTTGCCTATCTCTGCTTGTCCAATCGAAAAACGCAAAGAACGAGCTTGTAGCTGGTCTGTGGTAGCGTCGGATCAGACAAAATGGTGTACCAGCGGTTTCGCAGAAGGTGCGGAGCGAATTTTTCCGCTACGTACAGTAGTGTTACACGTGTGGAATTGACCGCAAGAGGGCTACGTTAGATTCTACTGTTGTTGCTTTGACGGTAGAACTCTTCGCGCACAAGCAACTGCTCTAGTTCGACTGCCATGGTGTCTGAGAATCTTCGCATACCTGGAAAGCAGCGCTGGATACTAGCTAGAAGCCACGTGTGAGCAGTTCTGCAAACTTCAAGAGGAAGTTTTCGCTAATAACAAACGTAGATTCCACTTGCGCACTTTCAATAATTCACGTTGCGGTGCTGTGCGCCATCCCTACTTGGTTAATCGAATAACGGAAAGAACGCATTAGAGTCGGATGCCATATTTTAGTGGCGGGTGTGCAGATGCTGCGGAATTGGTTTGCTTGGTCAAAATTAACTTGTTAGGCCGAAAAAGGGCCGAAAACCACCGAATCTTCGATTTCTTGATTTTCGTTCAAGAACAACACCGAACAGCGCGATCGAAGCTTTTTCTGACCTTCAAGTAAAGTTTGTTTTTTGAGCAATCTCCACGCTATTTTCAAGAGATTGTTACCACGGAGCCCCCCGCGTACGACCAGCCCTCCCGGCTGACCCCCCCTTTTTCTTTCCGTAGGGATGAACCCCTGTAAGAGCGCGTTCCTCTCTGCTCACTTGCACCAGTTGTACCTGTGGGTGACATCGCTGGTGTCCATTTTTCAATAACCACGGGTGTGAGAAAAAAACAATTTCGTTGCATTCGGCAATGCGTGTACGCACCATCTCACGTACCGCTGCCTTTCCTTTTTTTGTGTTTTTTCCAGTTCCCGGTTTTAGAGAGCGCGTGCCTTTAGTTCCTCTCTGCTCGCACTTGCAGCGTTGCATTATCATGGCGAAATGTGATGATACATACACCGAAAGGGTATCATACAGCCGTCGAGAACGCAGAAGGATCGGATCGCTGGAAGAGCCCGGTCCTTTTTTTTCGTGGGGTGCGGCAGTCACATCTCAGCAGCAGTATCGCCGTTCTCTTCTTGTTGGAGTTTAATCGCTGCCTGTCTGTGTCGGTCATGGTCACACACACCTCGCCCATCAAGGAAGAGCAGTCACTCTCCACTCAAGGTCTCAACGCGCCCAGCGCTGATACTGCTGTATCGTTAGTATGCCACAGCGAGATGTGATGTACACTCAGCAAGAGGGTACATGTATATGCACAGCAGTAGTCCAGAGTGCAACAGGATTAGTCATGATGAAGATGTCAAATTATATGTGTAATTCCTTCCTCGCACGTCGTCCACGCCTACCACAATAGTAAATATTTTTCAAATCATTGTGACCATCCTCTATCGATTAACCGTTAACAGCCGTTCATGCCTACCTAACAACATTAATATTAATACATTAACATTAATACTTTTTCAATTGGCACTACCTGACTGTTATCCAAAGTGAAGCGGTGGGTCGCGCAGCACCGTACCGCTAGGCGCCCTTCCTTGTACATACGCTGTCTATGTCAAACGAATTTTTGCCAGCCTCGAACGTGGTGTCTTCGCCGACAGCGGCTGTTGTCTCTCGGCATCCCGTCATCACGCCTGTAAACACGCAGATGTATGTTTGTTTGTCCTGGTTTTATGCCGTGCTTTTGTCTCTTCGGTGCCTTCAGGAGCGGCGCCAGCCTTGCTACAGTACACGCGGGAGAGAGAGATGGCCTCGTCCTCCGATCTGCCGCCAGGTTAGCTGCGCCGCCGAGGTTCTCATTCTGACAAGGGGCGGAGCGTTTCTTGAACGTTTCTGTCGGATGTCGATTGAGCATAGCCGCGCAAAAAAATGGATCGGGTCTTCTCAGTCTCTTGTGGGGCATCGAGCGACGCCCTACGTACGGGCTGAGCGAACCTGGTTACCGCTGACTACGCACCAATAAAGCCACCTTTTCTTCTGTGAGGTCTCCCTCGCTTGTGTGCAAATGTAAACGTGCTAATGACAACGTCTCCATCTGATCTCAGGATGGGAAGCCCGGGTCCAAGATGACGGGAGGGTGTATTACGTCGATCACATCAACAAGGTCAGTATTCATCATGCATCTCTGGGGAGGAGAGATGTATTCGCGATCTGGTCGTTGTGTGTCGTATCCTATCTTGAATGTGTGTAGCTTGTACAAGATGAAGGGTGCGGCGCGGCGTTGCATCGTCTTGTATTGGATGATTTTATTGCTGAGGTGGTTGTGATGAACTACCGCATTGCTATTGTACTGCGTAGCATTTCAACTAGTTTCGTGATATAGGAGGGATAGGGGAGCGTACGAGAGGCATGATTCGACCGGCATACACGCGCATACCGGTCCCGCCGGAGGACACGCTTGCCGGGTGTTGACCGTTTCCCCGCCGTTCAGCAGCCAACCTACCCGCTGATGAGGCCGTACCGATCAGTTTCACCCTCTTTGTCGTTGCGCAAGGGGCGAGCTCCGTTTTTGGTTGCCTCGTCTCATGTGAGCTATAACTGCTCACCTCGTTCGAGACGAAGCACGGTTTGGCGCCTGTGGAATTTTACTGGAATCACCACCAAAGTTTAGGAAGAAGGGGGTGAAAGGGCGGAACAGGGTGCAACTAGGTTGTTTGTGTGTGGTCGCTCTGATGATGATGGACGAATCGTAACACGCATGGATCCAAGGCAAGGCAGAGTGCACCGTGACTTCAACGCTTTTGATGCTCCTCACACCGGGGGGTGCCGTGCTCATTCTGTGTTCGTCTCCCACCTGCTTGACCTCAGATCACCACCTACGACAAGCCCCAAGCTCCGCCCCCCCCCGGTAAGATGTGATGCACCGTTTTGCTGGGGGCGAGGTGGGGTACCTTAATCTGCTCTGTCGTCGACCGGGGGGCGGGGGGCGTTTTTGTTTCCCAAAGCACATCACCTGGGGGCCACACGGAAAGGAGGGGGAGGTCGTTTTCTATATTGTCGTTCACACTACCCCCGGGGGAGATCACCCCGGGGCGAAAATAAAACACATACACACACACACACACACATCAAGATGGAGAATGCCTAGAAGCAGTAGTACAAAAGGAACGGAGGAGAAAAAGAAGGAGGAGGGAGAGGACGAGAACACGTGGGGATGCTTGGCCTGTTCCAAAGATCCTGAGCAGGCCTGAATCCCAACAACAGGCCATGAATTTCATCCTGCTTGGTGGAAAAGTATCATGTCATGTGGGGAAAGTCTCTTTCGTAGCCCCGGGGGTGATTGCTGTTAGTATTCTTGGGCACATTGCCCAGGAGCTTGATCGAATGAAGGGGGGTCGTGTTCCTTTTTAATAAGAAAAACACCTAACCCCGGGGCTTTGACAGAGAGATCATGCTTCAAGGCCGAAAAGGTGGGGAGGGGGGGCTACGACTGTATCCCGGGGCTACGACATAGCAGATTACGGTATGTACTCTCTACACCGTATATAGAGAACAGAGGGGGCGTTTTGGCATCGCGTTGGTTCTGTAGCGGCAGTCTACTAAGCCTAGAACCCGACTGAGCACGCCGACAGAGACACCACCTTGGGAGTTAGCACTTGACAGCTCGACAACACTACGAGGTAGAAGGCATTCGTATTGCAGCGGGTTCTAAGTGGGTGAAGGTACCAGATGGAGGGGGGGGGGGGCGTGAGGAGATGCCCGGGATGAGGAAATCGAAAATCTGACGCTTGTCGACATCGGCCCTCAAGATCACGCGCCGACATTCCCTCCTTACCCATGATAGGGCCCGTTTAAGGCACGAAGGGAAGCAGCCACCTTTATCAACTGCCGACGTCCGATGTTACCCCTGCCCCAATGTTGCCCGCAACGACGGGTGACTTTTTTCTGCTGTCGTGTCGGGTCATAGGCTGGTCCGTCAAGACCACACCTTCGGGCCAGGTGTACTACGAAAACCACGTCACGAAGACCACCCAGTGGGAACGTCCTGTCGCCCCCGTCGCCGCCCCCGCGCCGGGTGTGAGCCCAGGAGGTAAGTGTTGACAAGGATTTCAGGGTAATTGCTGCAAGATCACGCGCCGACATTCCCTCCTTACCCATGGTAGGGCCCGTTTAAGGCACGAAGGGAAGCAGCCACCTTTATCAACTGCCGACGTCCGATGTTACCCCTGCCCCAATGTTGCCCGCAACGACGGGTGACTTTTTTCTGCTGTCGTGTCGGGTCATAGGCTGGTCCGTCAAGACCACACCTTCGGGCCAGGTGTACTACGAAAACCACGTCACGAAGACCACCCAGTGGGAACGTCCTGTCGCCCCCGCCGCCGCCCCCGTGCCGGGTGTGAGCCCAGGAGGTAAGTGTTGACAAGGATTTCAGGGTAATTGCTGCAGGACAGGCAGGCGGTCGCGCTTGACGTCATCATTTTTGTGTGCGCTGGTTTTCGGTAGCCACGCGCTTGGCAAGATCTGTTTTATCTGAACAAGCACCTAGGTAATGACTGTTCCAGACGTCGGAGCTAGTATGGGGTCCTGCATGCCAAATTGTACGTGAAGAAGATCTGTACCGGCAGGTTGCTCTTCTCTCAGTTGGACATGCCTTTGTTTATGCTCGTTGTATTTTTGTCTTCTTGCTCTTCTACCGCCTGCGGTGTGTTTTTTCTCGCTCTTTTTAAGTTTGGTCGTTTCCCCTCGCGTCTGAGAGTGGCACCACGGCACTGAGTTCGCGTCGGATGATTCACTCGCACATTCCTCTCCCAACCGTACGCTGCCGGCCGACTCAAGTGGCCACCTGGGAAACGGCCTGAGTGTGCTGCCCACTATCCACTTCGAAACAGAGGGGTGCCTTGTTCCTTGGTGATGTGTTCCCGAGCACGCTGCTTCTTCTTTCGCATAAAGAGTAAATACTAAATACTAAAAAAAAAATACGCTCGGCGGATTTGTTTCGCCCGGCTCCCGCCTGGAATATTCTTCTTTTTCGGTTGGGAGGCCGAAGTCGGGGCCGTGGGCGCATTAACAACAAAGTGAAGACCGACCATGTGCGGCGTACCATGGTTGAAGCCGTTTCACTTTCCATTCCCCAGCGCACAATCTGGCGGTATCGTTGCTATACGTGCAGGGTACCACAATAGAACTTGGTGCCTTCGGTGCATTTTGTATGTGACGTCATAGTACACGGAGCTACTCTCTTTGGGAAGTTTTTCCCCTTCACCCTACACATTCGGACAGGTTCATGCCGTACTGCTTGGTTTTGTGGTGGGAGAGTCCAGGTTCACAAGCTGTGCGCCCGCCAGTTCGCTAGAGCACCTGCTTTCAGGCCTATGCTTTGAAGTGTACTTGAGCGTATCGATGCCTCTGTTGATGTGTTGTCCCAGGAAAAGATATTGTGGAGGAGGGCGGCGCTATGCTGCGCCGCTTTGCTGATCGTTCGGGGCTGCAGAAGGAGCTCCAGGGCTTCAAGAAACAGCTGCAGCCCCTCAAGGCGCAGTTGAAGGAGGGGTTGAGGACTGGCGTTGAAGAAGCACAGAGAAAGATAAACGAAGGTACTCTTGGTGGCACGTCGGCGGGCTACAGAAAATGAACATGCAGCATCTACATGCTTGAAGGTCCTGCGTTCCTCTGCCGTGCGGCCGTTTTTCTCCCGCCAACCTTCCCGCTCTCGTACCGTGCCCGTGGTGCTGATGCAGATTCTTGGCGAGAGGCGCCGCGAAATTTCCAACAACGTCATCTCCTCGCACACGAAGCGACGCCGCTGGACGGCCACTTACGCCTCCCCCCCCCCCTCTCCCGCCTGTTTGTGTTGGTCCAACTGTGGACGTTTTTCTCGCAGGCAAGCAAGCCTCGGCGGCATCATCAGTGCCGATGGCGGGCCACTCCTCAGGCAACACCGGTGATGGCGCCTCTGCTGGACATCACCACCGCACCCCCCAGCAAGAACTAGAACGGCACCTCATCGCCGAGGAGAGGAGGAGAGCGCAAGCCCAAATGAATGCCGTGACGATCGCGAACAACCAAAAGAGAATAAACGCTAACCTCCGAGCAGGTGCGGGAATCCACTTTGGACCAACCAAGAGAGTGTGGGTCAAAGAAGACACCTCCCCTTACGGTGGTGCCGGCATCAAGTTTTGATTCGGGTGGTTCCGGCATCCGAATGCCGTAGGTCAATGAAGCGTGAAACTGCTAGATCTGCAGCCTTTCCGCGGTCCATCACGGTGCCTCGTCGAGCGGGTCTATTCACTCCGTCGTTGCCTTAACCTTCACGAGAGGCATTCCGCCGTAGAGGGCTCGTTCTTTCACGGCGAAATCGTGAGTGGGAGAAAACGAAATATTTGTGCACATTAGATGGGTCGAACAAGAGAAATAACGGGGGGCAGACGGAAAAAACTGGTCGAGCATTCGAAGGAACGGGATTGGCCGTGGTGTTTGTAGGTAGAATGAAGCTCCATCCACCGACTGCGGTTCTCGTCGCTGTTCCAGTCGAAACTGTGTGGTCCGCGCATGGGATGTGGAGGTCGTTGGCCTAACAAATGCTTTGAGGGACACGCGTTCATTGTAGAGTGTCCATGCAATAACGTATCCTCGTTGTCGACACAGGACACGGTCGAGGCATGACGCTAAGAAACAAGAGGTGTAGAGCGAGGAGTGCGAGGACACCCTCCAAATGAGTATTTTTTGTGGATCCATGTCTTTGTTCTGGTTTTCTGTCGCTTCAAAGTGTGTTTTTCTAGCTGGGTGGCCGCAGACGTGATTTGTAGGTTTCTACGGTCCCTATTGGCTTCAAGCTGTGCAGGAAAGCATATTTTTTGGGCACAATTTGAGAACATGCAGATGCGACTTGCTTTGGCAGGAGGCGCGCCGGCCTTTCGGTCATTCCATCCTTGGTTTCTTTCGTTTTCTTTGATGCCTTCTGTTGTTTCTGGTGGCAAGAAGCGCCTTTGTCCTTGTTTCTCTTGACACACGCGCGATGAAATATACATCTTTGACTCTGTAAACCAGAGAGGACGAGGTATATCTGTTGGCACTCTGTCTTCCGAAAAGCTGCAAAGAGATAGGAGTGAGAAGGTGGGGCAAGCACCACAGGGAGCAAGCCTCCAACCTCTCACACAAACTTAGATGCACCCCGGTGGATGGATGGCAAACCTATGCTTCGGCCGGGGCCGGCGGGGGGTGGCGAGCAGCGCACTCAGAAGGGAGGCGTGACGGAGAGCAAGAGCGGTAGTCGACAACGGCTGGGAGGGGCGTGAGGAGAGTGGTTGGTCGATCGGTCCCACCGAGCGGAGCATTCCGATGGGGCTCGTGGCGGGCCTTGCATCGCGCAACGGCCGCGACAGGCATCTAGGGTGGCGTACGCGTTGCTGATGAAGCGTCTTTTAGCCTTGGAATTTGAGCAGTACATTGCAGGTTCCTGTGTTTCGTGTGACGTTGCTTGTTGTAGTGTCTGTAGATGACCTTTTTTCTGGGGAAAAGGGAAAGATGTGATCGATTGGGGTAAGTGGGTTCTGGTTTTGGGCGCGTTCGGCGTTTTACGTTGCCGAAGGAGTTGCCGCGGTGGAAAATAAGCGGTAAACCAGCGTGTATCAGGGGCCTGTCTACATGACGACAATGAGGGTGCCATACAGCTCGCAAAGCACCCGGTTTCGACTCCAAGTCAAAGCACATCAATGTGCGCCACCACTTTCTTTGGCGGCTCTTAGAGCAGAGGAGGTAGAGATCATCCACGCAGCGTCAAGGTACCGGCATGCTGACTCCCTCCCGAAGACGCTGCCGGAAAGGGAGTTTCTGTTCCACCAGGACTACGTGATGGATTTGAAGGGCTTTGGTTTGGGTGGTGTGTTGTCGGATTCTTCATTTTGTTTTATTGATGATTCCGAATTTTATGACTCTCATGGCGACCATCGAAATTGCACATTCGTCACAGCCACCGCTTGCGAACTCTCCAGTCGAACAGCCGTCGTGTGCACATGCGCCATACGCCGACGGCTCCGCCGATACAACCGCGTCACCCGCACACGCGTCGTCGACTCGGCCACACGCAATGCGCCAGGTAACACCACACCCACCAGGTTTTATTTATTTTTCCACGCTATATTCCCACAGAACGAAAAACCATGTGCACAATACGTTAACTCTACACTTCTTCTAGCGGACCTGCAACACATTCATTCCCTCAAATAACACCAGCCCCCCCCCCCCCCCCAATGTCACATACCGGTCATCTGGGCTTTCTTCCGACAGCACACTATTCGCTGAGTCCCCGCCGCATGACCACTACTGCCACCGCTCGGGCCACTCGAGTCTCAACTTGTTCATCGTTCCGACTTCACAAACATGAAAACGGAGATACTGTACGCGCATATACATGGGGTGTAGCACCGAGCACCGCAGAAGGATGAGGACGACAGACTTGTTCCGGCAATCGCGAAATGGGCTTTGCTCTGGTACTCGTTCATGACAGCAGCAGTGAGTCTTGCCCAAAATGCAGATAGGATGCCTTGGGCCATAACTCACGCAGTATGGAGAGGTTGCAAACATCGCTACAGGCAGTATTCCCGTCGCTAGCGCAGGCGACCAAACAAGAGCCGGCAACCAGTCTGCAACGCCACACTCCTTTGGAGCCCATGTGCTCAAGCTGGACGCTTCGCGCTGTACAGTACTGCGCAGGACTCCTCTCATTGATGATGTCACCTTTTTGTTGGGGCCTCTTGTCCTTGCCCGTGCCCTTGCCCCTCCCCCTCGGCGCCGGGGCATCCTCCTCAGCCGCCGTAGGTAATGGGCGCGTGCTGGCGGCGGGGACGAGGGATGGGCCATCGGCGAATTCGCGCGGTGTAGAATGTGCCATAGGTAGCAGACAGTGAATCATAGAGTGTGGCGCTCAAGGTTGATCGGCATGATGAATGCCGTCACATGCGTTGGCAAGAGCAAGTGGAGCGAAACCTGGCGAGCAAAAATAGGAGTCATGAGAGGCGATCTTTGGCGCACCTCAAGAAGGCTTCTTCGAACACCTTTTTCCCGGTGATCGGGTCTATCGGATGCCAGTGCCTCCTCGCCGTCCATCTCGCCACACCGTTGGTGGGAGGGGCGCATGCGGATAAGTTGCATGGCTGTAGCTCACGTCGTTCGTCTCCCCTGCACAAAGGCCGGAAGGGGCGGTGGGAGGAAGTGGCGAGGGGTCACAACTCATATTTCTGGAGTTGTGAGCGAGAACTTACAAGAATTATGTAAGTACGGCTACAATTGAAACTCACGCAACATCGCGAATAATACATTTCGTTCAAGGAGCAACATACTTTTACGTCAAGGTGTTTCGACAAGTTCGTCAGAGAAGGCCCTGAAACCTTTCATGCCTGCAAACAGTAGCCGACCACTTCATGCTGCTTCGTAGCCGAAATTACAACATACGTAAGTATGCCACGCATGGACGCGAGACGAAATGCCGTTGCGCTACGGTTTTGAAACACAGAAACAATGAATCCAGACCGACGACGTTACGATTCAAAGATTTCGACAGTTTTCCAGCACACAGAAAGCGGCTGCAGTCGGTTCTTCGTTGTCGCAAAACGCCACGCAGCATGGGAAATCGCTGGTGCTAGTGGACGACATTGCCAAGCTTGAACTAACATGAAACTGCCGACGCCCATCCAGCTCATTTGATTGTAAGGAAACGCGCTTCTAGTTTGCCAGGTTGGAACAGGTCAGGACCGCTAAACCAACTACTAATACACTACAAGAAAAGCAGGGTGATCGGTGGTGAGTTGGCAGCTAGAATGAATGTCGGTGCGTCTACATACGACTTGTGTAGATTGTTATTGTAGCGGTTGAACAGCTCGATATATTGTTCTCCCAATCCCCCCCGACTTCGTAGACTATATCGTGCTATGTGATTGAAACACTACTCATGCTCCAAAGGGTTCCACCTTGCTCTTCACAAATTCTGTTTGTGGTACTTGGATATAAGTCCGATCTGTGCATCCTCTGTGGGGGATACGCGTATGGGAAGTATGGGTGTGAGGGTATGTGTGCGGTTGTGGTCCAAGTGCGGGGCCCCCGGGAGCACACGGCGGTGTGCTCCCGGCACTTGCCTGAGGCTGAGGGGCTTGCGTGTTGGATACCAGCTTGCCTGAGGGGCTTGCGTGACGAATATATACAATACATGGTCCTTTTTCATCTGCTGTTCCTGGGATAGCATAGTCCCCAGTCTCAACACCACAGACCGCTGAGGGCGGCAGTGCACTAACACGATATCGAATGAAGCCTAGCTAGGCCAGGTGTTGGTTCAACGATGACGGAAAGAGAAAGAGAGTTGGAAGAAGGAGCGAAGAAAGCGGCAGCCGAGATTGCGGAGTTACGGAGGAGAATTGAGGAGCCAGAGGAGAGGAGTTCAGCGGGGGACGCTACTAGAGATAGGGTGGATGGCGTGGGTATGCGTCTGGATACTATAGGGATGGAGCCGGGGGAACGGCTGGTTTCTTTCAGGATTGCGGGAGGAATGGACCGGCAGTGCAGCATCTGCCCGTTTCGGTGTCTCTTCAGCTCAACAGCGAGGAGCAGGAGTTCTTGGACAGCTTCGGTCTCGAAGTGGAACGTGTGGATGTCTCGAATTTGGAGCTATTGGCTAGCTGGGGTTTCGGGTTGGTAGTGCAGCACCCGCCCGTTCCTGCGTCTATTCCGCAGCATCAACTCAACGAGGTGCAGCGGGAGTACGGAGCCGGCGGTGGAATCGGAGTACAACAGCAGCATGGTCAACAGCAGTCCTGCAGAGGTGTTCCGTACAGCAGTCGTTCCAGCAGCAGTGGAGGCACGGCGGGTTTGGCAGAGGGTCTGCGTTCCACCAGCAGCAGCCAGGCGTGGTGTACGGCAGCGATCGTGGTGGATTTCAGCAGCCGCAGCAGCAGCGATCGCCACAGCCGCAGCGGAACGGAGGATTTGCCACATTTTCTTCGTTGCATCAGCAGCAGCGTGGCTGTGAGTTTGCCGGTGAGAACGAGGGATATTCTCCTCGCGGGTCGTTTGGCGCCACGCAGCAGAGTGCCGGTATGTCATGAGTGCACACCACCAGTCGCCGAATCAGCAGCCAGCAGCATCACCTGTGCCTTCATCAACAGTGACAGGAACGGCGGTGGTTGGGACAGCAGCAGCGGCGACGTCCCCGGTGGTCGCGTTGACGCCGGGCATCGAGACGGTCGCAGCGGCGGCAGCGACCACGACGGCAGAGGAGACAGCGGCAGCAGCGACGTCCCCGGTGGCCGCGTTGGCGCCGGTCATCGAATCGGCCGCAGCAACAGCGGCGACAACAGCGGTGGCGGGGGCTGCAGCAGCAGCGGCGTTCCCGGTGGCCGCGTTGGCGCCGGACATCGAGACGGCCGCAGTGACAGCGGCGACAACAGCGGCGGTGAGGACAGCGTCAGCGGCGTCCCCGGTGTCCGCGGTGGCGCCGGGTGTCGAGACGGCCAAGGCGGTGGTAGCCGCAACGGGGACGGTGGGGGCGGCAGCCGCAGCGGCGTCCCCGGTGGCCGCGATGGCGCCGGGCAGTCAAGATGCGTGCGCCAGAAGCGGCGGCATGACCTGCAGCAGCGGCGGAGACGACGGCATCTGCGGTTTCGAGAAGGGCGCGTCGTACCCTTTTGACCCTGGAGGATTTTCTACGCAGGAGGTGCGTGAGAACGGAGAGGAGAAGTATGGTGGAGAGACGGGTGACCGGAGCAGCGGCGGCCGCAGCATCAGCAGCAGCAGCAGCAGCAGCAGCAGCAGCAGCAGCAGCAGCAGCAGCAGCAGCAGCCGCAGCGGCGGCGGTAGCGACATCGGTGACGGGGGGAACGGCAGCGGCAGAAGCAGCAGCGGCGTCCCCGGTCGCCGCGTTTGCGTCGGGTGTCCAGACGGCCGCACGGGCGGCGACGAGGGGTTGGGTGAAATCTGGAGTGGAGCCCCGACGCACCCTTTTGATCCCGGGAAGGCTGAGGGGGACGGACGTGAGCAGCAGCGGTAGCAGCAGCAGCTGTAGCAGCAGTAGCGAGGAAAACGGTGGTGATGGGAGCGGGGGTGAGGGTTAGATGAAACCTGGAGTGGAGCTCCGACGCACCCCTTCGACCCCGGTAAGACATCTTCGCGTGGCGCGAGGAGACGGGGGGCGGTACCAGGGGTGGCGTACCCCTTCGATAGGGGCAGGAACGGGAGTGGCGGCTTCGGCGGCAGCCGCGACGGGAGTGGCGGCTTCGGCCAGAGCTCCGGCGGCGACACCGGCGGCCGCAGGAGCAGCGACGGGAGTGGTGGCTTTGGCCAGAGCTCCGACGGCAGCAGAAGACCGCAGCGGCGGTTTTGGCCAGAGCCCCGTCGGCGGCAGCGGCGACAACGGTGGCAGTGGCAGAGGCGGCAGCAGCGACGTTACCGGCAGCCGTGTTGGTGCTGGAACTCATGACGGTCGTGGCGGCGGGGGAACGGAATCGGCGGCGATGGCAGCGGTGGCAGCAGCGGTGGCGCCCTCGAGTCGACCGGGAACGGGGAGGACACGGTGACAGCGACGACCTCACCTTGTTACAGCCAAGTGGGAAATCATGTGAAACGTTCACGACTTTGTTCGGTTTTGTGAGCAGGCATGGACGTTTTAGCTTCGCCGTTTGGCTTCGTATT